AATTAATACTCTGCCCATAGCATCCTTAAGTATTGCAGCTGGAGACATGAATTTATTCTTCAGTTTCTTCAACTTAAGAAATGCATAGCAAGTTCAGCTCTTTTGATATTCTAACTCTAGCTCTTTGGCACATTTCATTATAATACTTTGCTTGTCTTCCCACACTTTCCTTGGAAATCTTCTCTTTAGTTCCTTAGCTTCTTGATTTCTTCGCTTTGCATTGGCTCCTTAGTGCGCTAGTGCAATAGTCAGAGTATCTTCTGTCATCCATCTTGGTCTTTTCTTCCTCTTCTGTCTTTGTTATGACTCTGTGCATTCTTCCTGGATGATATTCTTGATATCTTCCCACAGCTCATCTGGTCTTCGCTCAATAGTGTTCAAGGCCTCAAAGCTGTTTCTCATTTGGTTTTGAAATTCAGGTGGTGTACACTCAAGGTAAAATTTTGGTTCCTGTGGATTTGATTTAACCTTCTTTACCTTTAGTTTGAATTGTATATGAGTAGTTGCTGATCTGTTCCACAGTTAGCACCTGGCCTAGTTTTCACAGCTGATATCGAGATTTTTCTAATGATTCTTTCCTCAGATGTAACCGATCTGATTTCTGTGCATACTATAAAGTGAGATACATGTGTATAGTATGTGTTCATGTTTCTTATAAAAGCTATTTTCAATGAATAAATCATTGTACATAACTCTATCTTCTATCCTCAGCCTTATTTCTCTCATCAAGTCCATATTTTCTGACTATTGATCCTTATTCCCTGTTCCCAACTTTTGCATTCCAGTCACCCATTATTATTAAGGCATCTTGATTGCATGCTCAATCGATTTCTGACTGGAAAAGTTCATAGAGATCTTCTGTTTCCTCCTTTTGGGCTCTGGTTGTTGGTGCGTATAGATGAATTATGGTAGTATTCACTGGACTTCCTTGTATGTATATGATATTATCCTGTCACTACATTGTATTTTAAGATGAATTTAGAAATTACTTTTTTAACAATGAAAGAGATTCCATTTTTCCTCAACTTTCATCTCTGGCAAGTAGATCATATGATTGTCTTATTTAGAATGTCCCATGCCATTATATCCCATTTTGCCAATATCTACTATGTCAATATTTATGCATTCCATTTATTTCTTTACAATGTCCCATTTTCCTATATTCATACCTCTCACATTCAATATTCCAGTTACTAGTGTCTGCATACAGCTGCTCCTCCTCTTTGCATTTCCATATTTGAGAGATCAATCTCGGTTGCCCTAGCTTCTAGTCTACTCTAAGTGTGCTTAGTCTTGATTTTTATATTGATAGAATGCTAAATTTTAAAAAATTACTAGATTTTTATGAAATTTAATGAGTAGAAAATGTAGTTAGAAATCAAAGCTATGCATTATTAAGGCTAGTATTTCTAAAACTTCATCCTTTTGATTTGGTATTGTTCTGAGGATAAAATACTTACATGTGGTTACTTTACAATAATGTCTGTTGCTTGAATGTGAGCTACAATGGGTGAATTTTATTCCATTGGAGGTTTATTCCACATTTTTCTCCCACTCTATTTAGGACCCATCTCTGGTGACCTACTTTTAGTACCTGTGCTGCAATCCCGAAGGCCCACAGTTTGAATCCCCCACTGCTCCATGGGAGATGGATGGGCATTATCTTCCTTTGTGATTTGTTGTTGTTGTTGTATACTACAGAATAGGAGCCAACCCATAGCTGACCTTCCAGTGGGTTTTCAGAGGCAGCTGATGACATGGGAGATTGCTCATCCTTCTCCTACAGAGCAGCTAATGGATTAGAACTGTGTGCCTTTGGGATTGCAGAGCAGATTCTTGCCACTAGGCAAACAGAGCTCCCTCCTGTGTGATTTACTGCCTCTGAAAACACACTGGAGGGCTGCTTTGGGTTGGTTCAGATTCAGTGGCACTCAACAACAACAACAATATTGCAGTCCTGTATCACAGTATGGAAAGCTGTGGTAGCTTATTTATAAAGATCTGCACTGTAGCTCAAAGGCATTTGGTTCTAATCCGTCAGTTCTAATATTCTTTGGCTGCTCCATTTGGACATTTTCCTCTCATGTATTTAACTGATGGCTTCTGAAATCCTATTGGAGGTTCAGCTGTGGATCAGGTCTGACTGCATGGTCCACAGCACCACCACCACATTGTGATCCCTTTTAAAGGAGCCAGATATTATCTCATTCTGGTCATGGAAGCTCATGAAAGTTGACATTAGTATAGTCCATTAGTACTTTGTACTAATTATTTTCATGCCTCTCTGATTTTCTGCACTCTTCACTGAAGACAGGAAGAGATCAGTACTTTTATCTTAGATGATATTAATTTTTGAAGCATGGCCCTAGCTAAGAGCATTAGCTTGAGTGTAGAGATAGGGAGGAGAGCCCAGCTGGTGCTGTGGCCTCCAGTTGCTAGAGATATGGAGAATGTGAGAAGGAATCCTGAGAAGGAACATTTTCTGCATCAATTGTACATGATAGTTAGAGGTGGTTTTAGTAGAAGTTGTACTTGCTCAAGATGTGGCTGTTTGTGAATTTCTTTTAAAGAAAATATCTTGCATATCTTTTATAAGAGCTAGATTTGTTTCCTGAGGTTGCTCTGACAGATTGTCATAGATCTAATGGGAAGTAGGGGAAACTCAAAACAACAACAACAAAACAAAATAGGGAAAAAAATCCCACAACACACCCTGGAAATTTTTTCTCTAATTGTTGTTGAAACTAGAAATTCAGAATCAAGGTATTAAGGTACCATATTCCTTCTTTTTTATGGACCTAAGGAACTATTCTTCTTTGCCTCTTCCAGGCTTCTCAGAGCTATCAGCAGGCTTTGGTAATCCTTAGTTTATAAGCATGTCAGTCCAGTCTCTATCTCCATCTTCACATAGCCTTCTTAACTCTGTGTCTTTCTGTATGTCTTCTTCTCTTCTTCTAAGCATATCAATTATTGGATTTTGTGACACTCCTAAACTAGTGTAACTAAATTTTAACTAATTCTCACCACTGGGCCAATTGGGAGCATCATTTTGGATGATGAAGAGATCAAGATTGTTAACAGTTTTAGTTTGATTGGCTCCATAATCAACACTCATGTACCAGCAGTCAGGAAAACAAGAGACGGGTTGCACTGGGAAAGTCGGCTGTCAGGGACCTCTCCAGCGTCAGGTTGGAGACTAAGGTGCACCTGATCCAGACCATAATCTTTGCATTTGCTTGCTATGTGTCAGCGAGCTGGACAATGACTAGGGACTATAGAGAAAGAATTGATACCTTTGAGCTGTGGTGCTGGAGAAGAGTGTTGAATATACCATGGACTGCTAAGAAAACAAACAGGTTTATTCTGGAGAAGGTGAAACCAGGCCTTGGAGGCAAGGGTTCGAAAGCTTTTTCTGACGTACTTTGGATATGTTACAAGGAGGGACCAGTCTTTGAAGAGGGACATCATGCTTGGGAGGGTGGAGGGATTGCACAGGAGAGGAAGACCCCCGATGAGATTCATTGATTCAGTGACTGGGGGAGTGGGGGTAGATGTGTCAGAGACAATAAGGTTGGCACAGGATAGAACAGGGTTTAGGGCTCTTCTTGTACATAGGGTTGCTTTGAGTCACAGTGACTCAACGGCACATAACAACAACAACAATGTTGTCATTGTTGTTGTTTGTTCTATCAAGTTAGAACCAACGCATAACTGGCCCTCTACTGGGTTTTTAGAGGCAGTAAATGGTTTTGGGAGGAGATTTCCTATTCTCCCACTGAGCAGTTGCTGGATTGGAACCAAATGCCTCTGTGATTACAATGCAGCTTCTTACTACTAGGCAACCAGAGCTCCCTTAATTACATGTGCAGTCTCTATTTTCATTGTAAGGTTTTGGATGAGTATGAATCAAAATCAACCAAGATCATTGCATCGAATCTGACTGACTCATACCTGACTATCCATTGAGTTTCCTAGTCTGTAAATTGAGAAGTAGGGAATCTCCTATGAAGTAGATGGTGGATTGGAATTGCTAGTCATTCATAGTCATGGAGTTAGAAGTGCAACTTCCTGTAGACTATGCCACAGTGATACCAAGCACCATTTGGAACGTTGTTGAGTAAGGCCATTCTAAATCAGTATCCGCACATGAAAGATCAGATTGCCAAGGAATTATTAAGGTTGAATGTGTTATCTTTCTTACTCACCAACTCCCTTCTCATTTTCCTCAGTACTTCAGGACTTAGATTGTTGGAGGAAGGGCAGGCTCTTGTCTGAGTGTTCTAGGCATTAATAGCCCACAAGCTCACTAGCTCTGCTCTCAACTATTTCCTATCTTTTAAAATCCATTATTAGAGTAATTTTTTTAAAGTTGTCATCATTAGGACAAAAATTGGTATTCATGAGCAATCTTTATCTAATATTGCATGTCACTGATGTCAGTGAAAACTTGAAGCAACAGATGAATGCCTGGTTTATAAATTCTGAACAGACACTCGAGATAGTGAAATAGGGACTGACACACACACAGCTAAATGCAGTATCTATCTTACATTTAAAGAGTGTTGTCATATTGCATATATTTTGGCTTGGTTACTTTTGAATTTTCTATAGAATCTAAACTCTAAAATGAAAGGCATTATTAAGTGTCTACTGTACACGCAGAAGAAGGCTAAGTACTTTTACTTTTTTTTTTTCTTCCAACAATTTTAAGAGGGAAACTTTTTCAGTCCATTTGAAGAGGCCAGGAAAGTAAAGCTTTGATATTGATATTTTAGAATAAATAAGAAAATATACAAATTAACATTCCATAGTCAAGATTTGTTTGTTTGGATCCAGTTAAATTTAAAAGGTGATGGAAATAAGATTATTTATTGGAAATACAACGATGTCTTTTAAATTGTTCATTTAAATATATATTTTATCTCTTTAATTTTAGTGAAATAGTCCCATACTGTTCTGATGATATATCTTATTTTCTCCCTCTCCTTTTTTTTTTTCAGGGGAAGAACTTGTCTCTCTTCCTGAGCATTAGTATGTTAACTTTCTGGGGCTCCTCCCTTTTGGGTGCCCGTTTATACTGGATGGGAAATAAACCACCAAGCTTTTCCAACTCTGACAACCCAGCTGCTGATTCAGACAGCCTCCTGGCTCGCACGCTGACCTTCTTCTACTTGCCAACCAAGAACCTCTGGCTGTTGCTATGCCCAGATACCCTCAGTTTTGACTGGTCTATGGATGCTGTGCCTCTGCTCAAAACAATTTGTGATTGGAGAAACCTACACACTGTGGCCTTCTATATGGGACTCCTCCTCCTCGCCTACTATGGTTTGAAGAGCCCAACAATTGAAAAAGAATGCAGTGGGAAAGTTGTAACAAATGGCAAGCAGAATGCAAATGGACATAGCTGCCATTCAGATGTGGAGTACCGGAATTCAGAGATTAAGCCCAGCTTTGCATCCAGAGTAGAAAATGGCATTCAAAACAATGCATCAGGGAGAACACAACTTCCTTCTACTGAGAACATTGTTGTTTTGTCTTTATCTTTGTTAATAATTCCTTTTATTCCTGCCACAAACTTATTTTTCTATGTTGGCTTTGTAATTGCAGAGCGAGTACTGTATATTCCTAGTATGGGCTTCTGCCTTCTGATTACAGTGGGTGCCAGAGCCCTTTATGTCAAAGTCCAAAAGCGGTTTCTCAAGAGCTTGATTTTTTATGCTACAGCTACCTTAATTGTTTTCTATGGACTCAAGACTGCGATCAGGAATGGAGATTGGCAAAATGAGGAAATGCTGTATAGGTCAGGGATAAAAGTAAACCCAGCTAAAGGTAATGTTTTATTTTATGTCTTTAATTTGATACATTGCATCTTGTCTTTTAGAATCTTTGCTCTTGCCTGAAAGCACAATCTTGATGACAAAGACATTCTTTTTTTTATTTGCATGACGATTTGCAAATACTATTGATTTTTCATACAACCATCCATAGACTGATGAATTACCATTGATTAATGGATTAGTATGATTGATTATTACAGTGTCTAACCAGTCCTACTAAAAAGTCCTTTTGATGTATTTTCAATGTGTGTTTATTTTTTTTAAGAAATGAGTGGTGCTATAGAGTCACTGTTTAGAACTGTACCAATATCTTCTACGTCTATAACGTTTAAGGAAGTAGACCGCAAAATCTTTCTCTGCTGGTGAGTTCAGATTACTGACCCTTTGGTTGATAGCTGAATGCTTGAACCACTGTGCTACCAGAATCCTTTTTATTGAAAATAGAGACATATTTTGTTATGCTCTTAACTATGTTAGTCCAAAAGCATTAGAATTCCCATTTAAAAAAATAGTATTATCCTAAGGGTTTAGATCAATATTTCATGACCATTTTATAAAATATGTTATTAATATATCTTTCATTATGTAACAAAATTGGAGTTTCCCCTTTAAGTATTTTTATCTCTTCTGTTTCCCAAGTATCACTTGACAAAAAAACCATCAGACTTAGAATACTGTTTTTCAGTGTTTTGAAGGTAAAGTACCTCTGAATCTTGGAATTGTGTCTGTAGGTGTCAGTATGTACACGTGCAGGTGTTAGGCACCCTTAGCTTTGTGTGGTCTAAATAATCTGATAGCCAGCTCTCATTAAGTGTTACTGAATACCTTAGTGAAATAAATTTTTTACTATACATTTACTAAGGATTAATCATAAATGTGGTAAGTTTTTAAATTTAGTAGAAAAGTATCTTTGCTAATCTCAGAATCTATAGGCATAATAGAAAGTAATAACAGTAATTCACTGTAAAAACTCCCACAATTAATTTTTTTGGTTTAGGGAATTAAACAATGATGAAAGTTGAAGAACGATTGAATGAAAATAAGTGTACACTTTTAGCACAGAAGTAAATCCTAGTAAATAGTGTCAAATAGTCTTATTTTTCATAAGCTATTTTTCAGTCATTTATCCTTTAAATTATGGTTGCTTTTATAGCATTTGAACTGAACCTTTCCACCAAAGATATAAACACCCCAGGCACAAATTTGGGATCCTTGTCTTTTTAGGACAGATTGAGTCAAGAGTTCAGGGAACAACTACACTCTTTTTTCTTAAGCCAGAGAACTAATTGTTGTTACTTGCAGTGCTCACTAGGTTGCAAGTCTTAAGGGAAGTAGAAGCTTTAAATCGAACCAGTGCATACAATACCTCAATTTTCTTTGAAATATCATTACCATGTGCATTTGCTAGCTAGTCAGTGCTGCACAGTTTATTGAATGCCTCACCCAAATCTTGCTATAGAAACTGTTACAATCAGTTTTCACAGAATTCTTTTCACCTAGGGTTTCCTCACAGTTGTAAATGTATGTACACAGAAACAAACAGTGATATCTATTTATTTTTCTTCTGTTTAAAGTATCTGAGTTAAGCAATTCAAACAAAGCAAACAATAGAGTATTTGCATCAAGGATTTGTTTGTGAATGTATTAGATTTATGGGTTAAATTTAAGATTATGCTGCTGTAACAGAGAACAAAGATTACAGTGTCTTAAGTAAAAAGAAAAGCTTTATAGGTGGTTTATTTATCTTTTTTTTTTTTTCAAGTGGCAATCAAAGTTAGTGCACCAGGCTGATAAGATGGCGCCATGAATTTTTTTGATCTACTCCCCATTTCTTTTGTTCCTTTGCCATCTCTGGAGTGTCACCGTGTCCATATGGTTCACGATGACTTTTTATCACATCAACACTTCAGCTAACAGGAAGAGAGGGAGAAAGGGCAAATGGCGGGTACACCATTCCTTTTTCAGAACACATTACAAAAGTTTAAGACACTATGTTTTCGCACATGTAATTGGCCACACCCAACTTCAAGGAAGGACAAGAAATGTTATCTTTAGTCTTGGAAGCCAAGAACCCAGCCATATTTTATTACTTTGAGTAAATGGGGGTGGGAGAGCTGATACCTAAATGCTAGGGGACAAGACCCTGGACTGCTTAGAGTAGGTGACAGCATTTTTTTTTCCATTCTTTTTTCTTTTTTTGGTGGGATGATAGCATTTTGTCAATTACTGTTATTTCCCAGTATTATTGTTACTATCATTTTCTGTTGAGTCAGCACTTGACCCATGGCGACATCTTTTTCTTGAAATGCTGCCCACTAAAGTCAAGTAACAGATTAGATTGCTATGATATATAGAGTATTAATTTTTTTTTGTTTGATTGGGTTTTTTTATATATAAAAAAGAGAGATTTATTAGAGAAAAGTACTTTGAACAGGGTGACAGGGAGGAGCAAAGTGCTGCGAATTTATGAATCCAATATATAGGGCTTTTACTGATAGTTTTCAGAAGCAGATCTTAAATAATCCCAAAGATTATCATGGAATTGAAACTCAGTTCTGGTGGCCTATTGGTAAGGAGCTTTGTTGTCATCCCAAAGGCAGATAGTTCAAATCTATCAGCTGCCCCTCGAAAGAAAGATGTATATTCATCTTCTTAGTGACTTACTGCCTCTGAAAATCACTGGAAAGTCAAATATAAATTCTGATTCAATGATACATAACAACAGCATGCAGCAGTAAGGGAGCTCTGGTGGCTTAATGGTCAGGAGTTGTGCTGCCTACCCAAAGACATACAACTTGAATCCACCAGCTGTTTCTTTCTGAAACCCTGGTAGAGGGTTAGCTATGAGTTGATTTCCACATGATGCACATAACAAGTCCTTAGTCCCTTCCATAAGGAGAGCTGCTAGACTAGGGGACTTTTCAATGGTAATACCATGAGGAGGGAAAGTGGTAGTTAAGCCATTTGTATCTCTTCCAATTTCTGTATTAAAGGCACATAGTATTTTGCACATTGTATTAATTTTAGAATATAATACCACTTGCAATGACAATCACAGTTCTAGGTATTTCGAAGGTATATATATATTAAAACCAAAGTCTTCTTTTCCTTACAGAGTTTGAAACATAATTCAACCCAATTCAGCTGACCCTCCAGTAGGTTTCAGAGGCAACAAATCACACTCGAAGCAATTGCTCATTTTCTGTTCAGGGCCTCTGGTATATTTGAACTGCATGCTTTTGGGTTGCCTTAATACTGAGCGCCAAAAACTCCTTCATGCATAGTAGAAAGTGAAGTATGTAACACTGGGCTACTGATAGACCAAGTACTAAAGGATGCTTTTTAATAAGGGAGAAGAAAATGAAGATTGTACTAGTTTCAGATGCTGTAACTGCCCCATCTGTGACATACACTTCTATTTTGATACAAGGCAAATATCTGTAAATCCAGATTCTTGATTTCATTTTTTTTAATTTATAACATGCCAGTAATTCTGGATGCAATTACTTCCTTAGCAATGAGAAGACTGGCAGCAATCTTCCTTTAGGCAGATTTTTCTGTCTGTTATGTTACTTCAATGAAGCAAAAGTAGAGACCTTTTTCAGCCAGCTTCTCTTAAGATTGTCTGAGATTACCTTTTTTTCATCGTTGGGTTTTTCTGCTCCTCTTTTGAAGGCCTTTGGAAATTTTGGAGTTCTTTAGTCTACCATTCGCTTTAATGAGCTATGATTTTAGGCTTCATGAAGCATTATACATTAAAGCTACTGCCTTCAGCAATTGGTCCTGTGGACAGCTGCCAGTCATTAACTGATTGGATGCAAATGATGATGGGTAAAGCCTGTCAGAGTGACTGTACTGCTAATTTATGGTTTAAGTCTGCAAAGTGGAGAAATGATAGCTGATTTGGACTATGTAAACCACAAGGCCTATCTCATTATGTGGTTGATAATGTCAGGAAAATACTAGACCTAGTTGATTACTGTAGTTTGCTGATTTGACAATAACACTTTGCATTTTTTGTGCTTCAGAAAAAATTTTTCTGTGATGATTGCCATGATGAACAAGCCACATAATATTTAAAAAAGGTTTTTCTGCTTTAGAAAAATGCATTTGAGAAACAACAGTTTGAATACTGTTTGCTTACTTCTTAATTCATCTCAAAGCTATTAAATATATTATCGTACTTTTTGTAGGCTTATCAGCTTTAGGTCTTTATAGAATTTCACATCCTTGACCTCTGTTGCTGTGGCTTTCAGGGAGCCATGCAATTTGAACTCTCACTGTCCAGTCTTTTCTGTGCTTTTAAGGAGGTGGCTTAGTAGTAAGGAGTAATGCTATCAATCCAAAGACAAGTTGTTCAAACAAATCAATGGTAGAAAAAAAGGGCATTCTCTCATACAGTTTACAGACTCTGAAAACCCAGTTGTGGGTCAGCTGTGAGTCCGTTCTGACTTAAGGGCACATAGCAGCACAACAACAACAAACAACTTGTATGGTTTAGAAGCCTTGATGGCTTTGTATGTAATGTATTGGGCACCTAACCTAAAGGTCAAATCTGAGTTGTTCTGCAGGAGAAAAGCAGGCGGTCCTGTGAAGATTTACAGAGAAAACCAGAGGAGGATTGCTGTGAGTCAGAATCTATTTGATTGATGACAGTGGGTTTGGCTTCCATCATTTTACTTCCTCTTTAAATTGATGTATCTTCCAAAGTCTTATTCAATTCCTCCCTTTATTATTGCTTATATGTGTTGTTGGGTGTGAGCTGATTTAGATTTCCTGGATTTAGCTACCAATCATTTTACCTCCTCTTTAAATTGATATATTTTCCAAAGTCTTATTCAAAGCCTCTATTACTGCTTACGTGTGTTGTTGGGTGTGAGCTGATTAGATTTCCTGGATTTAGCTAACAATGAGCTGTGGGCTGGAAGCCTCTTAGTTTAGAGTCAACCAGGATCTGGTGGGCAGGCCTTGTATTTACAAGGCAGTAAGGAC